CATCTCTTATCTATAAACAAATCCTTAAAGCCTCATCATTCAGTCCTGATCAGCAAAAGTCCATTAAGGGTTACCAGAGATAACAGCTATTTTAACCTTGATCAAATAGACCAACTTTATATTCCTTCCTTTTAACAATCTTGATCTTTAGTCCCTTCAAATAATGTCCTAGAACTTGATTTCATTTTTTCTTTGTCACAAAATTCCTCAAAGCTTTAACAAGTCTGTTTTGTAAATCTGTTATAGGAAAGTTATCCAGGTCACTCTTCTAGTTTGTTATTTGTATATCCCTTTTAATTATTAAGACATCAGCCAATTTCTTTTATATGTCCAGTGTAACATCTTTTTCCATGTTATTCTTGTAGCCTATCATTTTTAAACCCACTTTCAGATCAGTCTCAATTTTGTCAGGTAAAATTTATTCCTCTTCTATAACATCTTTTAAACACGGTCTGTCTATAGAGGCAGACACTCTTAAAATTAACTTCTGGGTCCATTGTTCAAAAGTATCTTTCAGTATGTCCAAAGTTAAAATATTTTCCTCCATTCTGTATTAGTGAGTCAAATTTAAGTGTTCTTCTCCTTAACTGTAATCTTTAGTTCCTTCTGGTTCCCTCTAGTGTCCAACCTTCAAAGTCTCATCGTGTGTTTTTTTAAGAGAATTCAAAACAAAAGCATTTTCCCAAAGGATGGATTCTTACAATTAATTCCAAAATCTTATTTCAAAGCCATCTGGACCTTTAGTCCACTTGTAACTCCAAAATCAAAGTTCTACTCACACTTTTGCTGTTTATTCCACTGAAAATTATTTTCCACTGAAAATTCCAGTTGAACTATTCTGCACTTATGAATGCTTTTTAAAAAAACAACAACAACAACTTCAGTTTACATAGCTTTGAGATTGATGCAAGCACAAAGCTTGATTGTTTTAAAACAAAGTTACCTCGGGGGGCCTGGGGGGTGGGGTGGGAGAGGTATAGTTAAAGGAAGAAGAATAAATATACTTGCATTTTATTCATTCAAGTCAGCCTTTCCCAACCTGGTACATCTGAGATGTGTTTGGACTACAATGCTCTAGGAATATGGTGAGTTTAGTTCCAACAGAACTGGAAGGCACCAGGTTGGGGGAGGCTGATTTAGATTCTTTATGGCCTTGAAATCCCTTGTGATTTTTTTATGTTTTTGTTTTTTCTTGTAAATGTGCTTTAAAAAGCCCTGTAGAATATGCAGGTGCTTTGAGATGTTTTCCTTCCTTTTATGGTGATCTCACAAAATAGAGCAGCATGACCAGGAATTATTCCAAGCTGCATGTACATTTTTGTAAAAGAAAAAAGGGGGGAAAGGGGAAAAAAAGAGGGGGGAGGGGAAAAGAAAAAGGGGGGAAAGAAACAAAAGAGTTTATTTAATAATGTATGTTAGTTCTACATAGGCCAGGTTGTATGTTGCATGTACTTGTACAGTTTGCTCGTAATTACGCTAATGAAGTAACCAAGAAATCTAAGCCATCCATTTTTTTCTTATAGACATTTTGCAGGTTTCAGCCAGGCCATCAGTTAGTCTGGTGCTAAATGTCTATTGATGGACTTTATTTTTTACCCTATGGAAAACGTGATGTAGTACGGACCAAATTCCTTCTAATAAATATTTTGGTGTAGATTCCTACTGTGGGGCTGTAACAC